AAGTCATTACTCCAGGGTTATCAACGCAGCCATGCATCGCGGTCCCGCGACCCAATTCATTTATTTCACCAACTCTCAATAAACAAACACAGGTGCGTCAGATGGGATGGAGCGTCGGTGGCTGTCAGGCAGGGCGTGAGCAAGTGCGGGGACGTCTGTTACAGGTACCTGGACGGCGTGAAGATGAGGACTTTTCAAGGCCCAGACACTTGGCAACACGTGTTGTGCGCTACACTGGTGCGCCTCAACATTCTGGTCTGGGTTTGGTTTTTTATAAAGAAGTCTCCAGTCTAGCGATTTTGTAAGTTGTCTGCGATCTAACCACATTCCCGCCTATATCATACGATATATGATATGTCCGTCCCGGCGGCTCAGTTGGTTAGAGCGCCTGCCTTCCGATCCACCCACCCGTGGCGGGGTGGGTTCGAGTCGCTTTAGAGCGCTCGCTATTTGTCTTTGACAGGTATGGCCTGCGGCCGGCGGCAGCGGTCGCGCTAAAGGCCAGTTGACGTCAGAGGGCAGGACGGACCGTGCCGAGCATTGCGGCACGTTAAGCTTTCGCCACTGAATTCTGCCGTTGCCTGGGATTGCGCGATCGGATGGTGGGGTCAGGGCTCACACAACAAGCGCTGCTTAGCGTGAGCGTTGATTCCAGAAATCCATCCATTCAAAGAGTTCGGATCAAATTAAAAAAATATCCGGATCAGGTTTTTGGACACTGCAGTTTTTAACGCTTTCTCGTCAATTTCGTAAACTGAGTTAACGCAATTAGGGTAGCAGATGCAATGGATGGATTAGTTTTAAGATTTTATGACGGTGGTTCAAGTGGCTATCAAGGAAGTGATGTACTTTTTGTCTCAGTTTCGCCATTCGTGCGCCCAACGATGACTATGATTTTGCACCTTAAATACATAAACGCATACATTCATATATACACAAGTCATCTGCTTTAAAAAATGATGATTGACTGTGAGTCAAGATTTTCAGACAGGCACCTTTATGAATGCACAAAGATTTTCAGTTTTACAGCTGTGACAAAAGTATTGCGAGGAATTCAAATATCTCAGGTGGTTGACCGCAATAACACGGCTACATTCCTGTGTCGTTTTCATGGACCGACCGGTCTTGGTTCAAGTCACAGGGTTTTGTATTTGGGATCGGTTTCGAAAAATCTGACACTGGCTGCTTCCCGCCCCATGATCAGCCAGTCTTTGGGTCGGGCAGATTCGTCGGTGACCCGCAGCTAATACTGTCGCCTGCGTCGTACAGTTAGCGTTGCGTCTCGACCTGCCGGTCGCCGAGGGCTGATATCGATCGTTGCGTCTCGACCTGCCGGCCGCCGAGGGCTGATATCGATCGTCGCGTCCCGACCTGCCCGGTCGCCGAGGGCTGACATCGATCGTCGCGTCTCGACCTGCCCGGTCGCCGAGGGCTGACATCGATCGTTGCGTCTCGACCTGCCCGGTCGCCGAGGGCTGACATCGATCGTCGCGTCTCGACCTGCCCGGTCGCCGAGGGCTGACATCGATCGTCGCGTCTCGACCTGCCCGGTCGCCGAGGGCTGACATCGATCGTCACATCTCGACCTGCCCGGTCGCCGAGGGCTGACATCGATCGTCACGTCTCGACCTGCCCGGTCGCCGAGGGCTGACATCGATCGTCACATCTCGACCTGCCCGGTCGTCGAGGGCTGACATCGATCGTCGCGTCTTGACCTGCCCGGTCGCCGAGGGCTGGCACCGATCGTCGCGTCTCGACCTGCCCGGTCGCCGAGGGCTGACACCGATCGTCGCGTCCCGACCTGCCCGGTCGCCAAGGGCTGACATCGATCGCCGCGTCTCGACCTGCCCGGTCGCCGAGGGCTGACACCGATCGTCGCGTCTCGACCTGCCCGGTCGCCGAGGGCTGGCACCGATCGTCGCGTCTCGACCTGCCCGGTCGCCGAGGGCTGACACCGATCGTCGCGTCCCGACCTGCCCGGTCGCCAAGGGCTGACATCGATCGCCGCGTCTCGACCTGCCCGGTCGCCGAGGGCTGACACCGATCGTCGCGTCTCGACCTGCCCGGTCGCCGAGGGCTGACATCGATCGACGCGTCTCGACCTGCCCGGTCGCCGAGGGCTGACACCGACCCTGGCAAACGTCTGGCTGAGGGCCGGCGAGCCCATGGTTCGGCCAGGACAGCGCCTGACCAAGCGCACACATCGACGCGCGCTTTTGTTCAGGTGCTTACCGCCTTCTCTTTCGTCACCATACGCTAGTCTCGTCTCGCTGGTAGGTATGGTTGCCGAGATCTCGATCCAGCTTGGACCCATGCTACCCAACTTTATACGATTGGAGAATTGTTCGTTTCTACTAGTAATTGAATTGGGGAAATAAAGCCGATATTGCAAGGCTGCACACATACGCCGTTTGATCAAACCGCCAGCATGTTTGTGTTCTGAAAATAATACGGCCCGATTTCTATTTAACCGTTGGTACCGTTTACCGTTTACCAACTATCCAAGACAGTTGGTAAACGGTCTAATGCGGAGTTGAGCAGACACGATCCGGAGCTTTCGCGCCGACGTGCCGGTTGTTAACCACACAGGAAAGCACTCCGGCCGTTATAGTGTCAGGCACTCGGCTTATTTAGCTATATTAACCCGTCATTTGCAGCACGGGCCGCTGCGGTTTTATTACAGCGGTGGGGCAAAACAAATAATATCTGAGGATCCAAATCCATTACAGAAGCGTTGGACGTGCTTGGATGGAATTTGTGCATGACTGAAGGTGTGCAGCGACCGAATGTCAACGTTTGAAATCGTGCTTGCTTTTATATTACTCTACCTCTGTCTTGTCACCATTCATTCAATTAGCCCAGTTTTAGTAACACTCGTGTCCATGCTATGAGTAGAATATGGGTTCCATCCATTTTTAATCCTAATGGTTTCAAATTTAATCTTGCGCCATCGCAAGTCAACGCACCGTATTACTGCTTGTGAACGACGCGAGGCACGCGAGCCCGTGTGAGTGATGCAGGTGCCGGACCACACCTGCGTCCCTCCGGCCGTGATTACGAGAGGTGCGCTTCGCGATCGGTTCTGGAGTGGGACAGGCTGGGTCATCGACACGGAAGACAAGCTCGAGTCCCCGGACGAGTTTCGGCCGAGGTCTCCGGAGTTGATCGCGCCATACCCGGATCACAAGAAGACCTGCACGGACGGATCCAAAGCGGATGCCGGTGTTGGATGCGCCTTTGTGCAGGGTCCTGTTACACGGTCTTTTGCTTTGCCTGGTCACACATCGGTCTTCACAGCCGAGCTAATAGCCATTCTTAAAGCACTTCATTTTATAGACGTTGACAGTGACGATCAACACTTAGTGTTATCGACTCTCTTAGTAGTCTTCTGGCATTGCAGGATTTTGATTCATCACATCCCGTCGTTCAGAATATCTGAATTCTTGTTACTACACTGTCCCGATCTGAGAAGCAGGTGGTATGCTGCTGGATACCGAGCCACGTTGGCATATTGGGAAATGAAGAAGCTGATGCGACAGCAAGGTGTGCCATACGCGTAAATCACATGCCCACTGTGACAGTCACTGCTAACGACCTACATACAGTAGTATCTGCATTCATGTTAAAGCAGTGGCAAGCAAATTGGGATGTGCATGCTGCCAATAAACTGAGCGGGATACCGTCCCAGTTGGGACCATGGACGTCTAGCTGTCGTAAGGTGAGGCGGGATGAAGTGACGCTTTGCCGCCTGAGAAACGGACACACATAGGCAACTCACCGATACCTGTTATGTGGGGAAGGCCAACCACAATGTTTTCGCTGCGGGGATCGTTACACCGTACGGCATGTCTTGATAGATTGTGCCCACCTCGCCCCGGAACGCATGCGCCATTTTGGATCGGGGCCCGTGCGCTAAACGCCCCATGGTATGTTGGGAGACGACTCGAGTCATATTTTTCGTTATCTTGAAGCCATACAATTTCATGTTATACATCGGACGTAGCCTTATCTCCACACCTTTTTCATGCATCCGTTAGATAAAAAGTAGGTTATGGGCGCCATATGACCAACATGTGCGCCTCAAAGCCCAAATCGTCATCATCATCGGCATGGCGGCAAAATCTGCATCGTGCATGTAACACCCACCCACGTGGGCTGCCCAAAACACCACTGTTCTGGAATGGCGAGGCAAACAGCTCCTGCATCAAGGCATGCGACACCCACCCGCGTGGACTCCCCAAAACACCACTGTTCTGGAATAGCGAGGTAAACAGCTCCTGCATCGTACGTGCAACACCCACCCACGTGGGCTCTCCTAAACACCACTGTTCTGGAATAGCGAGGCAAACAGCTCCTGCATCAAGGCATGAAACGAGCTGGTTTGACCATCTGAAGAGCTCAGGATCAATAATGGGGAGGTTGCGATGAAAATGAAGGATGTCTTTTTAACATCTGGGATGAAGCAACCCCCACACAGCTACTTGTAGTATCAAGGAGAACTCCAGAGGTGAGCGTGAAACAAACAAATAAATGTTCAGTAAAGTACAGACGCAAAGGGATCCTAAACACAGGGAATGCTTCATGAAAACTTAAAGTCGGCTCCACCACGGGGTGGAAGTAGGTGACACGGCTGAAGCCGTCGGGACTAATTTGCCATACAAATATCCCAAATGAAAACAAATATCGAGTTTATTTAATAAAAATGTTGTTGGCGCATCCAAAATGATAATCATAGTTGTTGGCGTATCCAAAATGATAAATGTATCATGCTGGCAAAGACAGCTGCTTGGAGGTGTCACTGTCACCGTGCAAGCCTGGTCGTTGATTTTGCGCTTGATGACTGTACTGTTTCGACATTTTTCGCCGCCTTAATCATCTCCGTCCCACATGGCACGAAGTTATCGCCTAGACCACCTGTTCCGTGCCAAGCAACACGTTCCCCTCGTTACCAGGCTGACATTACGAGACAGCTTGAGCTCGGCAGATGCGTCACGTCTTACTCACGAGGTCGGAGACAGCCCAGCAGCTCCAGCAGCCGATCCGATGGCCTCGCCATTCAGGGCCGGGAACGCAGAGCCCAGGCTGGGGAACGCTTCGATGGGTGACGTCATGCCGCCTGCGCTCGTCGATTGGCCGGATGTGACGTGTGCGGGAGGGGTCGGCTCCTCATCCGACGGGCTGACTGGTCGCACGGCGCGGATGGGGCGGGGCTTGGGCGTGATGCCAGGGATGTAGCGTTCCAGAGTGGCGGTTGACGCAGGGGGCGGAGCCACCGCCGGGCGCTCCGAGTGACGCTTGCGAGTGACCAGCGTGAACTCGGGCACCGGGCTGTGGGAGGTCACGGCCACGTCACGTCACGCTATCAAGTCACGTCCCACGTCACGCCATCAGAGCAGCGATCATCATCCTGATCCACGTCACACCGCCAGCACAGCATCGGGCTGCGTGGCAGCGCTGGCCGCTGGCCGGCCAGGCCGCGCTCCCCCCCCCCCCCCCTTCCTCCGGCGCTGACCTGGCCCGCTCCACCAGCCCGCTGAGGTCGAGGCCGTCGTCGCTGGCGCCCTCCGGCTCGGTGAGCGAGGCGGCCGACGAGGTGGAGGCGGCGCGGCGCCGCTCCAGCTCCGGCTCCGGCCCCGACGACGTGGAGGTTGAGCGGCCGGCGGCAGGTCGGCGGCGCGGCGGCGGCCGGCTCCTCACCTCCGCTGCAACACGTCCGCCGCCAGCTACTTTACGCTGCAGCGTCGCGCTCGCTCTCAGCGTCCAAACAATTCGAAATGCGAACGTGGGTCTGTGTGATATCTGAATTTCGAACTGCCATTTCGCCGCCTTTGGTAGAAGGACACTGAGAACAGGCCGTCAACAAATTGTTTGCTCGTCATTCCACGCGTTGAATGTCAACAAATGTTGACATATTTCAACAAAAATTCCACCAGGCGACAGTCAGCTACATTCCATTTGCGCCAAGCATGTCAAACATAAAACGGCCTGCACGCGTCACATTAATCAACCTACAAGGTGTCATACGCTGATTTGTGACGCAGGCCGGAACAACTAGCGCGTATAACGACCCACGCTGGCACATTCAGCACCTGTATGACCTGAACACCCTGCATAAATCTCACCTCAGCCAAGGTAGGCTATAGCCTGAACACCCTCCATAGATCCCACTCCCAGGTCGGTTGTGACAATACGCTGCTCCAAATGGCGGCGTTTCTTTGCAAACATGGCGGAGTGGACATCAGCGGACATCAGGATGAGCCGACACGCATTCACACGTTAGAGGTATTCGTGAGGGCTGCAGTCCAATGAATGCACCCTGTCCCCGTGGGAGACTCAGCAGGGGTTTATAAGGACCAATGGATACAGGCATAAACAGACAACTGAGCTGCGGCGAGCACCACGCCCATTAGCCGCAATGTGAGCCTCCAGGTCTTAGGACTCATTAAGACTGGCGCTGGCATCACTTACTAAGACCAGCATTTTTGCATGACTGGCGTTGTGATACACGTGCTAGTAAACTTCAGCTGCGGTCGCTCTCATGAGTATCCTCGGCTCTGTCTTATGCATCTGACGCGCCAAACGCCGGCATCCGCCCGACTGGTGACGCGCGCTCGGGCAGCTCATGTCACTCCATTCCACACCGCGACGGTCCACATCACTCCATTTCACTGAGCGAAGCGTCCTTCTTATTCCGCTAGTCGTGGGTGTAAACTCCTTACACCAGAACATTGTTTGCACAACGTGCCGCCATCAGACCTGATGACAGTGTCACGTGCCAGACATGACCTTCCTAATATTTCAAACAGCCCCACCATCCACCAAATGTCTGGGCTCCCAATATCTGCTCCTGACATATCTACAAATGCTTAGTACATTTCAGCGTTCTGGCTCATCAAATGCCGATACCGACGTGCGAGAGGTCCGCGCGTGCGAACCACTCCGAGCCGCAGCAGGGGAAGCCCCGATCACGGACAGACTTGTCACCAGGACGGTGCGCTAATCTCACATAGCCGCGGCCGCCACGAGCGGGGGGCGGGGGTCATGAGGTCAGTGCATCAGCATGACGCTGGCGTTATTCCGTATTAATGGCGAGCGCATTCTTCAGTAGGGCCCACTCACAGCAGTGCCGCGCTGGCCTCGGACAGCCACGCGGCGGCCCGGAAGTGACGGTCAGTGGCGCACCCGAGGGGCCTCGCCATGTAGCCTCATTCCCACCCGGAAGTAGAGAGCGCCTTGGCCTGAATGGGGAGCCTCTGCTTTGGGAAGCTACGGGAGGCGATCGCAACACTCTGGCAGAACGCCGCTCCCGGGCCCGGGTGAACGGGCGACGCCAAGCCCAGACTGCCAGCAGCTCCGGACCCAGATGGAAGGCGTCCCACGCCCAGCTGAAGCGGCGCCGCAGCCCTAGGCATGGCTGCGCATCAGCTTTGGCAGACAGACGGCACGCGGACGAAGAGGGGAGTCCCCGCCTCCCGGAGTGGAGGCGCGCTCCCCTAGCTCTGGTGAAGGTGCGCCCCAATGTTCTAGCACAGCCCGAGGCACCAAGCAGAGGGGTGCCCGAGCCTTTAGAGAGACATGATCCCCAGCTCCAGCACAGGTCCTCAACTCCAGCACAGGTCCTCGGCTCCAGTACAGGTTCTTTCCTCGCCACGGTAGACACCCCTAACGTCATATCAAGGACGCCCGTAAACGCGTGCAGCCGAACGGCCCAAACCCCAGTACAGGAGCGTGCCGAGCCTCCAGACAGATGGCAACCCCTCGCGCTGCTGCAGGTGTCATCCGGCCCTGGCATAGGTGCTCCCTTTCATTCGGACAGAGTGATGTCGTTACGAAGCGGAGGAACGCCCAAGACGTAAGAAGAAGCACGCCTCGTGTAAGTGGGCGAAAGTCCATCAGCGTATGAAGAAGTTTACCAGTCGCATGTCGCGGTGAAACCCCAGCATAGGCACAGGGGCACCCAAACGACCAAGTACAAGGGCGAGCCGAGCCTGGCTAGGCCTGTTTGACCCCTAACCAGATGGGAGAAGCCCAAGGCCAAATACAACATCTCACGCCCAAGAACAGATACACTGCAAAATGGATGCGAGGCCACGTTCGAAGTCGGGCTCAACGGCACTGGGAAGAGGCGCGTCCCAAATATAGGTAAAGGGGAGGGGGGACACATACGAAGGGATGCAACCAACCATAGAATCACACCCCGAGCTAAGTCACAGGAATATCCCATGTTCGGACAGGGACAGGGGCCCATAAACCCAGTAGAGCGGCGTCCAAAAACTTGATGCTTCTTCAACAAATTGTACAAAATTTCGCCTGAGCATTTAAATGTAGCTAGATAGGTGTTTCTAAGACCAGGTAAAGGGACATCCCGAAGCAAGGGAGGAAAGTAGAGATGAGGAGACAGCATAGCTGAGGAGACGGGTGGATAGGAGCGTCACGGAGAGTAGAGAGGTATGCAAGGAGTGCGTACTTCTCCAATGTAGAATAGAGCTCAAATCTGGGTAGAGGATGCCCAGACCTCGGCGGTCTTGCACCTGTGATCTTAACAACATAAATGATCAGGAGAGCTGAAGAGGAGGCCCGCAGACGAAGACGAATCGAGCATACGAGTAACATGTTGAGCATCCAACGTCAATGATTAACTGCCTAAGACCCAGGTCAGCTGCGTGTTAAGTTTAATTAAGGATACAGATGAACTGCGCCTGAGCAGCATCCGTGTGTGTGGGCAGAGCAAGGCGTCTCAATTATCTATGTGGTTAAGTGCACTTGCGAGGAACAGTATGCATATAGATAACGGTACTAAAAGCCTTATTCCTCGTAGAACAACCAGGAGAATTGAAAGATAGATGGGTTGAAATTTCAGCTTTTATCGCCTTGATTATCAAATCATCACTGCTTCGAAGAGCGACGTGTTGACAAATTACGACCATTGTTCCTACCCCCTTAGGCTTTACAGCTTCAAACGGGCACAACGGTCGTTAACTGTAAGTCCCTAGGCAGATATATGAACGCACTAATATGCAAAGTGTGCTGCGCGCCGATAATTACGGGCGTAATGGGAGTCAAACTTAGGGCACACTGCGATAGTGACCCACTCCAACGAATTGAAACACTACGACGGCTGCTCAATACTGCCAGCCGACGAAGGCATCATCTTCATGTATGCCTCATTTGCCATTTTAGAACTGGGCTGACAAACGACGAAGCGATTTTACATTTGTGAAAATTTTGAGGTTTGAATATGGTTCTCAATTTGTGAAGAGAGTCGGAGGTGGGCGGAGGGAATTCAAAAGTGGTGGATTCTGGGTTGGATCCCGCAAATGCAGTAGCTCAACGGCTCTGCATACAGATCGACTCATGACGCAAATGCCAGTGCCCGACAAAACATGTTAAGTTCAGAGGTGTGTTCATACGTTCTGCATCGCGTCCCCGCGTTATCCAAACAGCTGATAGCGTCGAGGATCGCCGCCGGTAACGGCGACCGTACCGTTTTACTCTCCCAGGCTCGCACGTTCGCCGTGATGATCCCATGACCACGCTTAAATCTGAGATCGCTGGGCTAAGCTGCTCGTTTGTACCCGTGGTTACGTATTCAGTGAAAATGGGGCGTTATGTCGCGTTCTTTAGAGCTTAGTTAATGTAACATTGTAAGCAGTGACCCAATATCGCTTCTGTGCTAGAAAGTCATCTTTCTTAGTTAGGCCAGGAAGGTAAAATGCATGGCATAGGACATTGCCATCGTGTTCTTTCCACTTATGTCGGCCAGGTGGTGTATTTCGGCCGGCCAACAACTCCAGCACTTGATATCAGATCTCAACGGACGAAGCCTGCCGCCTTGCGCATTATACGATCCCCATCCTCCCGAACGACACCGATAAACGAAATCAGGCGGAAAATCTGAATGGAAACTCTCCAAACCCATGACGCCTCTTAGAGGAGTTGAGGGCTACTCTTAAAAAGATTCCGCGAGTACCCCTGCTAGACAGGAAGTCAAGTAACACGAGTGTGCTGCTGCAAAAAGAGACAGCTAATGCTGTCAATATTTAAAGGGAACATTAACCCAATAATCTACGACGCGAATAAATGAAAACTGGAAGTCGGAACATGTTAGGTACACTGAGATCAACAGCACTTTTTAAAATACGTTAACTGATAGTGATATGAGTTTAATTGCTTTATTTTTCTGGTGTTTTCAATGGGTGTTCTATTAAAGGTAATGCTCCACATTTGAATATATTGAAGTAAACATTAGATATGTTGAAATAAGCTCACCCATATCTATTGGTACATTTTCAAATGGAGAAGACTACTCTAAACAAGACAATTTGCTAAGCTCATTTGTAACTATTCTCACACTACCCCTGTCATAGCACCTCTCCCCCTCACCACTCCGGGGCTCGATCGAGGTAAGGTGTACCACGTCCACGAGTGGTTGTTATGGCGCGCCATTACCAAACGCCGTTCGTCAGAATCCGTTGCCTGCACCGTCCGAAGCGGCGGACCACATCCGCCGGCGGGGCATTGGCGTTGTGCACGCCGACAGCGCCCCGTTCGCCGCTTGAAAACCGGTCGGTGAGGAAAGCCGGGGGCGGTTCATCGACCCGTCGGCTGCCTTATCGCACCATATCCAAGAAATATGACCGGGCTTTACATGACGCCTGGTGCCGCATTCCGTCTCTCTGACCACGGTGCGGGGGTGTAACGCGACATGCGTGGTTTGAGAAGCACCATTAGGCCCATAGCCAATGTCAGGATTACCGAGTCGGCGTTGGCATATCGTGAGTTTTGACCCTGCGCAGCGAATTACCGCATTAACGCTTGAAAGCACTGGCTTGCTTTACTAGACCCCCGTCAACCTAAACAAAGTCGATTTGCCTTCGGCCAGTACCGATCCAGACCAATCGACTCACCTGCGACGGCTGGTGGTCCCAAAACGTCAGCGCACCTTCGACGGGTGCTGGTCCCAGACCATTAACCCACCTCTGACCGCTGCTGATCCCACATCGTCAGCCCCCTTCGGCCGGTGCCGGTCCCATATCGACCGACCACCTTTGTCTCGATGGTCCCTTCCCTGTCCTCCCGGAGGGAGTGTGGTCTCACGTTCGGTGGGCGCCGGCGCCGGCTCGTCACTGCCGACGGGGTACGCCTCGTGCACCGCGCGGACGTGCTCGAGCGTGGGCGGCTCGCCGGACGGCCGCACCAGCCGGTGTCGCATTAGCGGGTTGACACACCGGTAGAAGCGCGTCAGTTCGTCCATGACGGCTTCCGACGCCTGGTCCAGGCTCCTGTCGGCCCCAGGACAGGAGTCAGTCACAGACCGCACGTCTGCTCCAGGCTCCTGTCGGCCCCGGGGCAGGAGTCAGTCGCACACCGTACGCCTGCTCCAGGCTCCTGTCGGCCCCGGCCGGACTCAGTCACACACCGCACGCCTGCTCCAGGCTCCTGTCGGCCCCGGGGCAGGAGTCAGTCGCACACCGCACGCCTGCTCCAGGCTCCTGTCGGCCCCGGGGCAGGAGTCAGTCACACACCGCACGCCTGCTCCAGGCTCCTGTCGACCCCAGGGCAGGAGTCAGTCGCACACCGCACGCCTGTCCACACACTGGATCGCAATGCGCGCCCTGGAAAACAAGTGACGTCCTCATGACGCCTGGTGGTTTGCTGTTGTGCTTGGTTGGCCCAAGTACGTGTTTTGATGTCAATGATCACCATATTCCGTCAAGGGTGATGCGCCCGAACAGCGCTAACACTACTTGAATTACCGACTTATTCGCTACTCTCGCTATTCTGGACCAGTCATGGATCTGCACGGCACCGTGACTGGGTTTTGCTCCTTGCCGTGCACCCGTTGACCTGGGGCAGTGTTACAACATTCGACGAGGGAGCCCGTTTGGAAGTTAAGTGCTCTTCTGAAGGACATTTCCGGTATCAGCATGCCTCCCGACCGTTCCCGAACGGAACGTCCGCCTCTTAGGGCCCCCTGGGATCTCTCCTGTTTGACGTCTTTGCTAAACGTTCGTCAGTTATGTTCTGGTGGAGCATGCGTGGTGCAAATTGATGAATTGTATACGGCAAATTCACAAGGTCAGCCATTGACAATGAAGTTTTAATGCCCTGCATTCTATGCATTCCTTTCTAAACAACTACCTTCGTGGCCATAAAGACTCAGCCCTTGAAAAATAAAACGAACAAAAACATTAGGAATTTCTCTGTTACGTCCAAACACTTACCAAACGCGCATACGCAATTTGTTACACCATGATCATGTTGAGCACGGCACCGGTGCTGGCATACTTTGTCTCATGTTGTCTATCCCACCTCATCAGCCTGACACTCGCGACCATCGTAACTAAGCTTCGAACCGACCACAACCATCGTCACTAAGCTTCCCCTGAACCGACCACAACCATGTCACTAAGCTTCCCCTGAACCGACCACAACCATCGTCACTTAGCTTCCCCTGAACCGATCACAACCAACGTCACTAAGCTTCCCCTGAACCGACCACAACCATCGTTACTAAGCTTTCCCTGAACCGACCACAACCATCGTCACTAAGCTTCCCTTGACTCAACCACAACCATCGTCACTAAGCTTCCCCAGAACCGACCACAACCAACTTCACTTAGCTTCCCTTGCTGGCTCTTTGCTGGCACAAAACTCGGCGTCGTTTTCACGCATCAAGACGGGAATGTGGACAAGGAGCAATTTAATGGCAAGTGAACGTCAGTCTTTCTGTAATGCAGCAACGTGCATACGGCTTGCGCTTCTGGAGACCAGAATCCTGACCAGAATCATTGAACCTCCCTGGTGAGCCTACCATCGTCCGGAGACATTGCAAGAAAAGCAGTACATCTTTAAACTTGTCGCCGATTTAAAAAAGACTGACATTATCCGAAACCACAGCCTCCACGAAAGGGTTTGTCGCTCGTGGCTTTCCCCGAACGAGAGAAGCCAACTCTCACGGCAGTGAGGGGATCGACCCATGCGGTTTCTCGCACCGAACGATCCAAACAGAGCACATATGGTGGAGATCAGATGGCGCTTCTGACGTGATGATGCTGATGATGATGATGAGGAGACATAACACATGGCGAGAAACATGGCTTTCTGAGATATTAGCTGCATAGTTCAAATATAACAGGGATTTCAGACCATCAAAGAACAAACCATGTTTTGCGTATCAGTATAATTTTGCTTTGCCACCCGAATACATCAGAAATACCCGAAAGCGTGAGTGGTATTCCCCGGCTATTTTAAAACCTCATTCAGTCTTCTGGCTATCCTTAATCTTGCGACGCTTAAGGTACACGGCAGCACACGCTAATGCGGATATTGCCTGCATACACCGGCCTTGTTTAAGTCCGCAGGGAGTTGTCTTCATCAAATAAAAGGATCATTTGACTGTCAGTTGTGCTGTATATGTGACTTGACTTGAGCTACAAGACTTTGCAAGCTGCCTCGTTACCGCGTCGAAATCAACAAAATTAGCCGTCCCCGGTCTTTGAATAAACGCCCTCTTTAGGGCACGCTGACCCAACACCCTGTTTTTCACAACCTCACAAAACCGTCCAGTAATGCCTATAAAACATTCTCATCGGCCGTAAGTCAGTTGGTTGTGCTCCCCGTGCCCAGCACATATCACGAAAGTGTGTCAAGCCAAGAACGGTCGAATGGCTGCTAGCTGTGGCCGTGGCCGTGACAGCACTTGTTACGTGACACCCCACTGGCGGCCTGAAGAGCTCCTCTGGACCAAGTCTGGGCATCCTGGTCCAGAGGAGCTCACACGAGCTCCGACCATCCCGGAAACAGGCACTTCCGGACCCCGTTCAGAGGAACTCCGACGACGTCCAGTCCTGCCCGGAAAATAAAACTTCCGGTCCCCGTCCACAGGAGTTCCTGTGGCACGTGACCAACGCTGGAGCATATTACTCCTCACGAACACGCGAAGCGCCGCAGACGTCGCCGACGAGCACAGACAGCGGGCGCGGCAGCGGGCGGTGTCCGTCGGACCGCTCACACCGCGGCGCCGCTGGACAACATAGCGGCGCACGACAGCGGGACAGCACCGTGCCACACAGGTCGCACTGCAGATGGACAGTGAAGTGTGATGGTCGCCGGGGAGGGGGAGGGGGGGGGATGATGGCTGTGCCAGCGGCGCCGATTCCAGTGTGGATAACTCGTGAGGGACGCCAGAGCTCCATATGCTGGACTTTGGTGACATGCGGCGTGCTGTCGGTGAAGCCACACTCTACGACGATTAACTCCTCAGGCTCACGTAGTTACCAACATTGGCTGACCCGAGACAGGAAATAAAGAATGTGCTCCGCCCAGCCTTCCCAGGACAACTGTTGTCGTTCGTTCCCCTTCCCTAGAGCACCACCGCCCGGTCCACTTCCCACGTGGTGTTGAACTGCGCGAGAAGGCTACCCGACATGTGTTTTGCATTTGCAAATTATTCCCTGAGGAACCTTGGTCGGAACGAACATTATCAGTTGCATGCTAAAGACACACACACGCACACGCACGTATATATATATATATATATATATATATATATATATATATATATATATATATATATATGTCTGTCAAATGTTAGCAACATAATGCTAATAATATGAGACTTAACCCCCGGCGTGCAGCTTAGTAAATACCATGAATGGCATTGGAGAGCATGGAATCATTTTCCCTAGCTGTGCAGTATTGAATGACGCCCATCCATCACTTGATAAAGGGCATAGGACAGGAATACCATATGTAATGAGCACCGACATATTACCGCATACATCACCGGCCGCTGCATAATCCAACGCGCTAACTGCCGCCGCAAGTTCCGTACAGCGGGAGCAAAAACTAAAAGGAAAAAAGTACGGTGACTACGTGCCGACGCGGCAGACATTAGACTGACTATGCTGGCGAAGTGGAGAACGGTTATCAGAAACACGCGAATAGCAGAGACGTGCCTGAAGCGCACAGGAGATATGCATCATGATGATCACTGATACCGATTATGGACATTTAGAGTGCCGCTCCACACTGTGCCTCTTCATGCGGCGTGGAGTGACACGGCGGGATGCCGCTCGATGCAGCCAACGCGGTCTGATACGGCCCGCGCGGTCTAATGCGGCCCCCGCGGTCTGATGCGGCCCGCGCGGTCTGATGCGGCCCGCGCGGTCTGATGCGGCCAACGCGGTCTGATACGGCCCGCGCGGTCTAATGCGGCCCACGCGGTCTGATGCGGCCCGCGCGGTCTAATGCGGCCCGCGCGGTCTGATACGGCCCGCGCGGTCTGATGCAGCCAACGCGGTCTGATACGGCCCGCGCGGTCTAATGCGGCCCCCGCGGTCTGATGCGGCCCGCGCGGTCTGATGCGGCCCGCGCGGTCTGATGCGGCCGACGCGGTCTGATACGGCCCGCGCGGTCTAATGCGGCCCGCGCGGTCTGATGCGGCCCGCGCGGTCTGATGCGGCCAACGCGGTCTGATACGGCCCGCGCGGTCTAATGCGGCCCACGCGGTCTGATGCGGCCCGCGCGGTCTGATGCGGCCAACGCGGTCTGATACGGCCCGTGCGGTCTAATGCGGCCCGCGCGGTCTGATGAGGCCCACGCGGTCTCATGCGGCCTGTGCGGTCTGATGCGGCCTGTGCGGTCTGATGCGGCCTGTGCGGTCTGATGCGGCCCGCGCGGTCTGATGCGGCCCGCGCGGTCTGATGCGGCCCGCGCGGTCTGATGCGGCCCGTGCGGTCTGATGCGGCTCGCGCGGTCTGATGCGGCTCGCGCGGTCTGATGCGGCCCGCGCGGTCTGATGCAGCCTGTGCGGTCTGATGCGGCCTGTGCGGTCTGATGCGGCCTGTGCGGTCTGATGCGGCCTGTGCGGTCTGATGCGGCCTGTGCGGTCTGATGCGGCCTGTGCGGTCTGATGCGGCCTGTGCGGTCTGATGCGGCCCGCGCGGTCTGATGCGGCCCGCGCGGCCTGATGCGGCTCGCGCGGTCTGATGCGGCCCGCGCGGTCTGATGCGGCCCGTGCGGTCTGATGCGGCTCGCGCGGTCTGATGCAGCCTGTGCGGTCTGATGCGGCCTGTGCGGTCTGATGCGGCCTGTGCGGTCTGATGCGGCCCGCGCGGTCTGATGCGGCCCGCGCGGTCTGATGCGGCCCGGCGCGGTCTGATGCGGCCCGCGCGGTCTGATGCGGCTCGCGCGGTCTGATGCGGCCTGTGCGGTCTGATGCGGCCCCCGCGGTCTGATGCGGCCCGCGCGGTCTGATGCGGCCCGCGCGGTCTGATGCGGCCCACGCGGTCTGATGCGGCCAACGCGGTCTAATGCGGCCCGCGCGGTCCGATGCGGCTCGCGCGGTCTGATGCGGCCAACGCGGTCTGATACGGCCCGCGCGGTCTAATGCGGCCCGCGCGGTCTAATGCGGCCCACGCGGTCTGATGCGGCCAACGCGGTCTAATGCGGCCCGCGCGGTCTGATGCGGCCCGCGCGGTCTGATGCGGCCAATGCGGTCTGATGCGGCCCACGCGGTCTGATGCGGCCTGTGCGGTCTGATGCGGCCCGCGCGGTCTGATGCGGCCCGCGCGGTCTGATGCGGCCCCCGCGGTCTGATGCGGCCCGCGCGGTCTGATGCGGCTCACGAAGAGCGACGCGACTGTAGTCCGGCTGCTGCGCGACCTAGGGCCTAGGGCCTTGCCGCGCGACAGTGAGCTGCGTCACTCGCATGGCTAGTTGCCATGGGTTGCCATGGACACCGAGTAAACCGAATATTAATCGCGTTTCCGTGTTTTGTCGGCATTAGCAAGATGGATGGCATAGTCCTGAACTGAATGCTGTATCATACATTAACACAATGCCTACATATCACCGTCGAAGGAGAGCCGATAAGGGTGTTATTAAATTACTGCTTCAAAAGAAGTGCAAGCGGCTACGCTGGATCCGCCAGATGAAGAAGAATCCGCGCACCGAAAGTCAAGCTTAAGGCTTATGTTAGATATGAAGGCAATAGACCCAGTCGTATTGCCCACTTACGTAAGGATGAACTCAAATATTCTAAACATGGACAAGAATCAGAATGAGCCGAATGGGTGGGCATGCTGCACCATCAACTCAGGAAATGGCTCGGGAAATATCTTAAGGGCATCGTCAGTTTTTTTGTGGGCCGACAACCAGTGGAATATTGCAGGCCACAGAAATGATGGCATCAACATGGTGGATCCTCGTATCCTTTTCAGGGGTCCACACCACCCCTCCCGATGTTAAGTCGCCTCCCCTCCCCCCTCAGTAGCACGTCAACCTCAATGCTAAAAGCATTGGAAGGATTCTCAGGAAAACTTCTGGACCCCTCCATCTTCCACATGGAGTTTCGCCCCCTACCCCCGATGCCCTTCACGAAGCTCCGCCCTGGTATCAATACATTCTGCCGTGCGGCCCAATGCGAAAGGGAGACTTCAATCCTACGTTTCGCAAATGGCCGCAACTGACCATGGACACCGAAGAACGCTTTGCATAGAATGAGCTTAACTGTTCTTGTGTGAATAAGAACGCGCCGGAGTGGCTGGTTGAACACCCTTCGCTCGAGTGGGGGTGGACGTCAATTTGACCCGCTCAGATTTCGGAAACTGATGAAGCTAAAGACGCCGAATTCAAACAATCTGTTAGCCTATACGTGATATTGCTTGTGTCAAAATATGAGATTCCTGGGTCATGACCTTCGGGTCAAGTAAGGTCAAATAAGGTCGAACTCCAGATAGGTGTATAAAGTGCCAACAAATCTCCTCATGCAACCATCGAACCATCGTGCACCTAGATACCTGCTCTAAGCAAAAGGTCACTGGTGCCTATTTAAGTTCAGTGACCTTGTTCGACTCTTCGAAGGTCATGGTGACGGAAATAACCCAAGACAGCTTTGATTTTGGCATTAGAATAAGCATCAAGGATTATGCTAAGCTGCATGTTCCTAAAAACAAATCTTGACCCGTGTCATTTTACGTCAATAACCTATTCTGGTCCCTAAGAAGCCCATGAAACATGCATAATGCGGTTCCTGTTATCAGTGAATTCAAACTGAGCACCAGAATCTACCCAGTACACCAAGCACTTCCGTAAAAAGCAGGCTGGTTCTGGCCTTGATCTGACCTTCATACTTGACCCTAGGTCAATGGAATTGGTTACTTGCATCATCGTATTGACTAAGAAACTGCCTCGGAAATATATGACTTCCTGTAACACTACGTTGTTGCACCGGAATGATCGATTCCCTAGGAACTGTCCTCGCTGAATCCATGGCCTGACTTTGACCTGCGTTAGGTCAGCGACCTTACAAGGTGCATCTAAATTTTTTATACCAAACGAACGGTTATTCAACTGTCTACAGGTAGGCACATCGCGGAAATCATTCCGAAAAACCTTGGGGGGGGGGGGGCAAATTGACCCTCACCCGAGCGCGTCTTAAAAGAATGGTGATGGGGAATTCTTTGTGCCCCCCAAAAACATCAAAGGTTACTTGATGCAATATGACCAAAACGTTTTGACCTGCTACCGTTTGCCACCACTGAACCGGACACCGTCGCAAGTCATGCGACAGCAGAACGACAGTGGTGCGACAGCCGGACGACAGTGGTGCGACAGCTTGACGATAGTGGTGCGACAGCCGGACGGTAGTGGTGCGACAGCCGGGCGACAGTGGTGCGACAGCCGGACGGCAGTGGTGCGACAGCCGGACGATAGTGGTGCGACAGCCGCGTGGCCGCCGCGACACGCCGCGGCGCATGAAGAACGCGCCAGTGCGGGGCCTTCCTTAGACTGGCGTTTCACACAGCCAGTGCAGTCTGCGAGCTAGAGACGCGCGCGGGATGCAGGACGCGGAGAGGGGAGCCCCACGCTCTCAGCGGCTGAATACGTCATTCGCAAGACATCAGCGGCTGCTGTGGCCATCACGGAATTTTGAAAAATGTGCTCGTGTTCAGGGAGCGGTCGTGGGGGCATTCCGCTACGCTGCTTCGAGCGCTGACCATAAAAACAGAAATACCCAAATGCGCCACTGTCTGTAATGGTAGACATATGTCCATAAATGTCTGTTTATACTGATTACGAACTTAAAAATAACTACTAATGATAGAACCTGATTACTTTAAGTATATAAAATGAGATACTCTGCGCATACGCCTGCGAACCAAGGTCGAATACAAGGGGAACAAGCTAATAAGAAATTAGGACACCTTTTTGGACTAAAGCACTCACAGCCAGCGCTGACCCCTCCTCCCCCCCCCCCCCCGTCCAAGGCGGCATTCTGGATTCGCCCTCACCAGAACTCAATTGCGCATCACGCAAACCGACCACTCCAGCATGGTATTGCATTATAACGGCGTTTATGTGTTGTCCACTTGAAACTGCATTGTAATGAGCTGGCATATCCATCAGTAACCTGCGTCACGCCAGGCTGCACGGAAAAGGTTCATGTTCCTCCCGAACCACAGGTATGGAGTAAACAAGTCATTGCTACAGCCTGCATTATGAGATAGAGCCGTCTTTCGGTCGAACCATCATCATATGCATATGTTGTACATGTGTCTAATCTCCTGCCGAGAGGAACTTCTCAGGTCTGGTCACCAGATGTCTCTGACGCGGTCAACCTATTTACGGGACAACACCAATCCGCGTGGAGCGGGGCAGCGGCTTGGACTTGGACGGGTCTGAAGGGAATATTCTACATTTGCACATGGGTTTGAGCTCAGATAGTCATTTTGAATATCATCCAGCGCAGTCCCCATCTGCCTTTTAAGACTTAAAACCCGATGGTTTTCTGGTTTCTGAGGGTGACGCCTGCGAACTTGTGCAGGCTATTTCGTACAGACTATTTTAGTCACCCAGGCATGCATGACGTCAAAGAAACATTACGCAAGAACTGCCGCCCTATTAGCCACGTTGTGCCAACGTAAATATGACCATCAAGCTACTCATGTCTGGTGTATGTTAGCGCGATTTCTGGCACTAGCAGACTTGAATTAGCCATCTACTGACGCCATTCGTTCGGAGCAAGTTACGGACACGGGTCACGTTTTAAGCTGCATAATACAGAGTGGGACAGTGGTACGAGTTATGAAAGAAATATGACATGAAATCGAAAACCTTAGAATCACTGTAACCGAGTATGTAAGCGCAAGTAAAACAATACAAAATCGCGGGCAAATATGCAGGAACACCATGGGAAAGGAACAAAACACGCGAACAAGCCACATTTGGGGTCTGCAAACAACGCCCCGATAATTACGACACCTCTCGACAAGTTGAGACACTACGAGTGAGCCAGTCCGTCCACTACGCTGGCAATTTCGCACGGCCCATTCGGCAGCCACTCTGACGTCATCGTCATCCGTGTTTGACGATGACTCAGGGGCTGAGGCTATTTGGCGTTGCCAGCCTCTCACCCTGGCGGAAAGGAGGGGGAACCGCGGAAAATCGAACCCCGTACCTCTGGTTTCCGAGACGCGCAAAGGCGCATATGTGTTAATCACTACCTTATCGATATCCCCGTACTCCGATATAAACGTACCATGACGCAATTAAACGATGACATGTTGAGGAGTCTCTTCATTAAATACTGGAATGTTGTTGCCTAGGAGGCTTTTAATTAAAAATCATATCAAAAGCTACAAGCGAGTTCGTTTCATCACATCCGATTCTTGCCCAAACGCCTGCAAATTTGAAACATTTCCTTTTAAGTACAGGGCTGCTTACCACCTAGCTTAGCTCTAATGCCGCTTTATTTTTCAACCTAAACTGGCTAAAACTGGCTTGCGTTTAAAAATCGCCGGCTACTGAAAGCTTAATACATAAATCGTCAGGTGCGCAAACGAAATTAATTGATGTAATCCTCTGTAACCAACGTTACTATGTAAACTTTACCGAAAACGTAGCCTAAAAATAATGACAGAGGTCACCTTTTTGGATCAGCTATGCCAAAAAAGTCCCGGGGGGCACCAAATCAGCAACCCGAGCAAAGCCGTCCAAGGCCCGTGCAAACCCCATCAACCGTGGCGAAGACAGCGGCAAACAGTGTTACGTACGACCAGCGCCTGCCAGTTCCCAACGACCATCCACCACAGACCCCGGCGCCGCCCACCTGTTCTCCATGACGGCGGCCAGGTTCAGGCAGATGAACTGCATGCAGGTGGACTTGAGCTGCTCAGCGCCGTACATGGCGCTGAACTCCATCAGCTCGACGGCGTTCTTCAGCGTCAGCTGCCTGGAGAGCGCCACCTGGCGGAGCGCGGATCGCCGCTGAGGACCCCGCACTGGCCGGTACACCCAGGCCAGGCGGACCGCAAGGGGGCCCGCCTGCCCGCGCCTGGAGGTCCTCTGCACAGAGGGCCCGGCAGGCGCTGCTGCACCCGCACATTCAAACCATAGACTAGAGGCGGTACATGTCAACACTGTCACCATAACCAGCGATGGATCAACTTTACCCGAGATCAGCCAACGACAGCAGTGCCACGCCAGAATGCCGGGCGCCGAGCGCGCCCCGCAAGGCGGCCGGACCGCGAGCGCACGCCGCCAGCCTCGGCGCCGCCGCGCCCCAGTCGCACCTCGCACATCTCCTTGAGCCGGGTGGCCAGCATGTGGTCGGCGGCGGCCAGCAGGCCACACAGCAGCTCGAGGTCGTCCGTCTGCAGCGGCTCCGGGTCATCTGGCTGCAGGCGCGCCTCGCCCGTGTAGCAGAAGGCCACCAGCACCGTCAGCACGGCCGCCGGCATCGACAGCCGCACCGCCTCGCTGGCCACGCTCTGGGGACCGACAAGCAACACTCTGAGGTCGGAGCCAGGGAGCATCTCACTGGCCACACGCTAAACGACCCACTCGGGGGAGAGACAGACCCATTTTGCGGCGAGAGGGACACTATACACACTGTGAGGGCGGATGGCTCACTGGATGAATAACGGACCACAATCTGACGTCAGAAGGGGGGACCGCCACAATGGTCACCCTCTGACGACCCGTTCTGAGGCAGGAAGTCCCGTTCAGAGAGAGGAGGAAACCGCCCGTGCTCCGAGGGCGGACGGATCGCTGGATGAGTCGCTGGTCATGATATGAGCACAGACAGAGCCACTCTGATGGCAGATGAACCCGTCCTGAGTGAGAGTGGACACATTCTGATGCTGGGCGGGTCCTACTCTTACGGCAGACGGAGAGCAGCTGGGCGGCTGCGGTCTCTCTGTCGCCGTACCTCGGCCCAGCAGCTGCTGAACATCACGCTGAAGTACTGGAGCCGGGCAGCTAGCACGCACTTGTGGCAGGCCAGCGCCACGCCATCCGAACTGGTGATGGTGACGTCACTAAGCGCCGGCAGACCGGACGGGTCCAAGTTCAGCGGCGAGGGGGAGGCGTCATGGGCGCGCGGCACCTCGACTCGTCCGCCGCTCAGACGAACCCCTGCGCGAGTGAGGCGGATCGGAGCGAGCGCAGACACACTCGTTGATTGGCTGCTGGAGTTGAAGGAGCGCCAAAGACAATCTGCCACCAGACGACCAGCCGTGACACGGTCAGCCGACGCTGTACTGCCACAGCACCGCCGACCATGTCAGCAAGCGGAGGGGCGGCTGCTAGCACCCAGCATGACACACGCTCAGAAATCACATCGGAAACTTGGCTGCCGTCGTCGGCACGGCATCGGCAGCTGACATCTTACAACGAGGGGTCTCGATCCACCTCCGCCCGGGCACCGGCCGTCTGACCCCGCCCCCGCCAGCGGGCGCCCGGTCCGCGTGACGCGACGGCCTACCTTCGAGCCTCCTGTGCAGCGCAGGCACGCCGAGCCTCTTGGCCAGCTCTCGGACCACCTGGACGGGCTGGAGCGGCCGCTCGGCCGGCCTGCCCTTCTGCTGCCGGCGGTGCGGCCGCGCCGGCTCGCTCGGCTGCTCCGCCACCGGGTCCAGTCTGCGGCGGCGGGCACACCCCAGTCAGCTAAGCGCTCTTCACTCCAACCAGCAATGCCTCCAACGCCGTTATTGCCACGAGCATTACATTGGCATAGATTACAGCCGACGTTTGATGCGCTGAAGCGTGATTTTTTGTTTATAGACCTCATAATCTTATATTTTACCAAAAACAAAATGACAGGGCGAACAAAGCTGACAGAAATATTCAAAATTCACATTCTCAACGCCATTCATGGTAGTTCCCTTCAACACGTATCCTTCACTAGCTACCGCACCCTTTACGAGCTACCTCTAAGTGAGCTTGTGTTTGACTACGACAAATAATTCTTCGCAATCGCCGTAAAGAACGGCGGACATCGGGGAGGGAGGGAGAGTCACGATTTCCCCCAAAAAGATCAGTCTGGAGACCGACATCATTTCGTCTGTTTCAGGCGTGCGATTAGCCCGGAGTGCCATTGCCGTGCACTTAGAGACGTCGCGGTGACGTTGAGATTACACTCAAATCCCAGCAGAAGTAGGATACCGTGGAATGGCCTGAACACAATATTGTGCGCTGCCTTGTCGCAGCACTAATGCTTCTGCGATTATTTCGATAAAGGCAGTTGCCGACATATCAACCCATTTATATCTCCATTCGCCTGGTTTTTCTCCGAGGAATAAGCCAATTGCCACTGTCTTATCTATGTGAATAATGTTCCCCACAAACGCACTTAACAACTTGCGCAGTTTTATTCTGGGGCTTTTCAATAACACACCCACACGCCGTGGGATAGGATGTAAAGGGCGCAAAAAGATGGGTTATGGCTTGATTACGAGACAGGCGTGAACATCCTGAATCGGTTTGTGGGAGGCATGTATCAGCTCTGGATCGTGATGTTAAATTATCTCGTGACTGATCGTGGCAGACTACCAAAATTTGACCAGGTACGTCGAAAATACCTCAGGCTTACGTTGAAGATGACAGCGTAAGTAGGCTTAGACGTGCGAGCAATGCCCAGATTATGAAATGATTTGCTGAGAATAGCGTCCTCCCATTCAGCGCCGGCGAGGATTCCTCATTTGAAGCTGAGATAAAAGGTGAAATTTGGCTGTCTAGTAAACTCGGAGTTACCACATTGGTCAGGAGAAGCAGTTAAAATAAGTAAATGTCCTCCATCAGCCGCATGACGGGTATTCACGAGGTTCAGAGAATGCTGGGAAGGTGTCTGTACCCTTCCATGCGGGGGCGGGGTGTGACAGAACTCATGATCATAAATGTTGTATCGACAAAACGATGTTTCTTACAGCGCATAATTCGGCATCCAATCATTACCACAAACATTTCTTCATGCGGAAGGTAGCTCTATGCCCGTTTTACACTATGCTTAGGTCAACGGGGGACTCAACATACTTCTCCTACGGTTGTGCACGTCAAGGCGGTGCTGCAATGAAATTGTTACGATACTGGGTCCTGCTTCAATAAGCTGGGTTCAGATGTCGTTCGTGCAGTGTGGCCTAGAAAGTGCCTGAACATTGAGTTCCTTCACAGGAAACCTACCGGTATTGGTTTGATCCGACATGCCACCAATACCACGCCAATCGATTTCTATGACACCAGTTCTTCAGTCACAAGCAAGTTTCAATACATCCAGCAAAAATTTAAAGATAGCAGATGCGCGCTTAAATACTGACAGGAAGTTTGTCCTGGGTACTCCAAAACGAAAAACGCGCCTCGGTAAACGCATGCTCTGGTTCTTCACTCTTATCTGGTACCCAGCCGGAACGAACACAGGGTGTTTCCAACAAGACGGCGCCACACCACACGTTCCTGAACTAGTTCCCGGATGGACCCAGCGACCCCGGGAGGCCTGCTATTTTCCGCCACGCACTGCGCTGGTGGTCGGCGCGCGTGCCGGATCTCACCCCTCTGTTCTGTGTCATACCTGAACGACAAGGTGTGAATGTGAAGGCTCACAGCTCACTCTATGACTAATGCTGCTGCTTTTCGGCGGGAACCACTGAAAACCTTTTGCCGCGCAGTGCCCTGGTTCGCACCCCATAGAAGATATGGGCTGCGAACTGTGCTTAGCCTTAGCTCAGCCCTAACCCTTTGCATAACGGGCGCCCGCCAGCGGCTGTGAAGCTGCACATCTTGCTCGTTAAGTGGCATATGGCGGGACGCCAGATAAGCCATGCTCCCTTACAACCGAGCGCACATGTGGGGCGACATGTAACACAACGTTGCATCGGTAACGAAAAACAAGCCACGGAAAACCAGACAGGATTAAAGCGTTGCTGCACAACTGACGGGAATTATAAATCAACATACGATCCGCGATCTGCTGCTAGTATCTATCAGTACACTACCGGTATATCAGCATCTATTTATCCATACACATGGGCTTAACTGTCCCATTTAGTGTGCACCAGCCCTGGGAAGTAACATATGTGCTGTGTCTGCGCCGTTCAAGTGGCACCGCGCCGCAATACACCAAAATGGAAGAAGAGGTGCTTCCACGTGAAGTGCGTACACGCGAAAAGACGGCAACACTGACCTGTCGGCAATTGCGACCAAGTTGCCAGTCATCGGCGAAGGTCATGGCGCTAAAAGAAAACAAGTTCTCACGTTCAGTGCTTTACGCGTTTGTCCCATGTAATTCTGTAAATGCAAACGTGGCTACTTGGAGTCTTAGTTCTATGACACGCAATATCACATAGTTACGTTTGGAATGCATCGTATTAAAGCACACCTACGTGCTGTGGCGCGCCAGTTGCGAGGAATGCGATAGCATCTTGTGTGCTATGTTTTTATTAAACGGTTTTGCGAGACCAGAAGAATGCGTCGTTAATGACCCTTCCGTCCAGGTAAGCGTCGAAGAAATGTTCCATGAAACTATGTACAGTTGATGGTAAAAAGTCACGAAGAGCCAACGCCGTGAAAGTGTTCGTGATCCAGTCCTAACCAGGCCAAGCCAAGCCAAGCCAAGCGGAGCAGGTCAAGTCAGGTCGGATCGGGTTGATACACCCCATCCACCTTGGTCCTATCAGGTCATGTCCAGCCTGGATACATCAATACACGCATTTCCTGCATGTGGTTGGTACGCCCCACTGAGCCAAGGTAAAAAATATCGTCGACGGAGGTATTTCTTTCAGATTTTCTCTCCTGAGTTTTATAAAGCTACGAGCAAAAAAAAGTCCCAGAAAATTATCCGCTGTCGGGTGCGATTGTCTCCCAACGGGCCACACCAAACTGTGTGGCGAGAAGCGCAATGGTAAATACGCAGTTGTGGGAGAAAAACGAGCTGACAAGCTAACAAGGAGCACAACAAAGGGTTCCCGGGCTCCACAGGCCCAAAACAGGCCCCTTAGACTGCTCATTCTAGATGTCCCTAGACTAAAAATTTTCCGTGCAACCTGGATGATAACAACATGGATTTGCTATTGTGTATCCCTGGTTGTGATTCACATGAATACCATGGACCTTGTGTGCTTACCCCTACTTCTATGAGGTTAGTGATTTATTTGGTGACTAACCTTCCCTTCAGTCCCTCTCCCCAAACCTCTATACTTCTTGGCAACAGCAAGGCGTTCGTGAGCGTTCGTGAGCGCGATTTCTAGATATAATGGCCGTCAACTGACTCTCAATCAGTGTTGTGCAAGGTACGATGACGCAATCAAATAATGACGCATCGAGGAGCATATTTACGAAACGGGGAAATGGTGTTGTCTATACCAGTCTTTTCTACTTCAAAGCATATCAATAAATATAAGTAATTCGGTTTCATCATATCTGATGCTTGCTTTAAGATCTTCAAATGTGAAAATCACTGTCAGGGAGAGTTCCACATTTCTATCGGGCTTTAAACCGAAAAAGCCATCTTCAAGATTATTCGGTGCAGTTCACTTCGGCCCTGACATTCTTAAGGCCCCAAGCTCCCTAGTTTCTGAGCTACACGCCCGCCAAGATGAGCAGCTTATTTCAAGGTCACTCAAACATCCATGCCGTCACGATAACGTCATTCAAATCCTGGCATTCTATTGGCCATGCACGGACCGAGGCTAAAAAAATATTGTTCTCGAGTCGCTCATATCTTCCGTTCGTGAGCACGATTTCCAAATATAACGACCGTCAATTGGCTCTCAATCAATGTTGTGCTAGGTACGATGACATCAAACGGCGAGACGCATGGGGGGGGGGGGTATATTTACCAAACTAAGAAATTATGTTGCCTAGAGCAGCGTTTTTCCTTCACAAGTATAACAATGGTTATAAATGAGCTTGTTTCATCATATCTGATGCTTGCTTCAATATCTTCAAATGTGGAACATTCCCTCTTACTATTCATAAAACGCAAAAACATCGCATGCAAAGTGCTATATCTTCCTGTGGCCACTGCCCACCGCTCGAGCAGAAATTCGTTGAGGGCGCAACATGGCCAAGACAGTTGAGGCACCCACTGCTAAACTCAAATATCATTGTCGTCCCAATAAGACAATAAGTTGCACGCATAATGCACTTGTTGGACTTAATTTGCAACACCAAACACTATGAGCTTCCTACTAACCGGTCACCAAAAACAAATAAAAAGCAACGAGAATGGTCACTTCTTCCAGATTGGATGAAATACAACCAAAATAAACATTTCACCACCGGTCGGATTATTACCATTTATATAGACATTTTCACTGCCAGCTTAACGAAGTTGCTAGCCACAATGCCTACTTAGGTCACCAAATACACGAAGGAAACATCTAGAAAGAATTGTTTTAACCAGACCGGCTGGAGTTCCACCAGACAAGTAAAAGAAATCACCAAGACATGATAGGAAATCACTAATTTGCGCCAGTCTTTAGGATATTCAGCTCACCAGCAAAAAACGATCATATTTTAAACCAAACTTGCATCAGCTTGGGAACGGTTTGGGACGCAGACGTCATTCGCCTCGGAGTTGCGTTGTGAGAGCGAGTCGCTGATTAGCATTGAGGTTCGTGCATACCTACACATCACGGGGGGGGGGGGGGGTAGCCAGCTGGTGGAGGGTGGGGGAGGCGGGAGGGTACAGGGGACATGTCCTCCCACTAGGTTCTGAGTGGCTTTCGGGAGCATCGGCACAAACTATTAAGGGCCCGACTGGGGAGTCCGAAGGGCTGGCCGAGGGTCGACCCCGGGGCAAGGCCCTGACCCTCAAAGGTCAGCCAAAGGAACCCGTCGCGACTGTGGGTGGTATCAGAACAACAAAGGCGTCTATGAGGGTCCATGACTACCAATGCTGAGCAATTAGCTCTTAGTCGGCTTGGGCCCCGGGGGTCCCATTTACGAAGCAGGGACAAGGCTGGTATTCGCAATGGTTACTGAAGGTCTCGTACGTTGACCCCCGGCCCCTGAAACAAGGCGGCCCGCTGTACCAAGGCACATATTGATTTACAGGGGAGCCTGTGTCGGCAAGGGGCTCCTAGTCGACCAGAGACACATTTTTCTGAAGAAGAAAAGAACGGGAACCTGAATGTCAGAGAGTTACTTGCGCCGGTCGACTTCCTTGTTGTCTGACATGACATAGAAATGAGAAATTTCAATGAAATGGTCCGCAATCAGACAACAGAAGGGTCTGGCCAGTCGCACACTCTAGGACCGAACAGGGGCTCTTGGGGACTCTTTAATTTAGTCAATTTTGGTGACTGTTGCCTTTCCCATGTCCTTGCCCTTACCCTTGACCTCGCCCCTGCCCTGTTAATGCCCTTCCACCCGTAATCGGTAGTTTTAGCCCTGATGTTTGGTCGTTTCACTATACCAGATTCTAACTGGCAACGATGATAATGACTCAGCCTTCCGGTGACAAATTGGCCGTTCTGACTTGCTACTTCCGTTGGTGATCGTGGTGTGTATTTTGGTGATGGAACCGACCATCCTGGCTGTCTAATTAATTTTGTCCCAAAGCTATGTTGTCGTTCTCAACCAGCGCAATCGACCATCGCGAAATAATTAAGCTGTTTAATGGCTGCAAGACAGCATCTGGTAATCTGATTTTGAACAGCTGATTTTGAGTCTGAAAAAGCGTGGAAGTTGAAATTTACGTCGGCCGTCAGGGCCGTTATACCACTCGGCAAACGGAGGAAAGATTTTCGACTGAGTTTTTTTTTGGGGGGGGGGGGCGCAGGGAACGATATCTTTTTATAAAACCAGCCTTTGATAATAAAGTTCCTGACCACAAGCAAGTGGACTTAGATCTGGTGGATCTGTGTTTACCAGGTTTGCTCGTAAGAAATGATGTTTCGCGATGTGTATATGGCGCACAAATGCGTGGACATAAATGCCCTCACCAAGAACAGCAAGGATCAGACGTCGTCTCAACGGCAGCATTCCTGTGCGGACCATCTATATTTGCGACAGCCTGGCGGGCCTGGTGACGGCCACCTGCAGGAGCGCACCCAGCAGCCGACGTCAGCAGTTTCTACGCGGCACTCGCCACTGGGGCATCCTAAACACCCACCCCATCACCATTCTGACAACCAGTGGACAGAGCATAGAATGGAAAACTGAACGGATGAGAGAAGTAGACTACGAACAAAGCCATAAGCCGAGTGAGTGCTACTTGAGCAGAGAGAATCTTGAGTAGTTCGCTAACGTCAGACCGCGTTTGGTCCTCAATGTTCTTAGAACTTCGCAATCGTCTGTCGCAGTTTCACGCATTGTCCAGTCACACGTTAAATAATTCAGAAGTTGTGCCTACCTAAGTTGTGCCGGACTACCTATAAACTATCACATTTGATGTCTATGAAAAAACACATAATTTCTTCACTGCAAACATCTGCACCCTAGCATGTCTAAACCGGGTACAAATCTCGACAACCCGTCGTTGTACAGACAAGAGGCCAACTACTTTCGACGGAGGAGAGCGTGGACAATCCATGACTGCTTTCCTGACATGAAAAGGGCTTTGGTTCATCACTGCAAAGCTAAGTACGCTCGCGCGCGTGCCACGGATGTTGTTGGTTTTTCGGGACTGCAACATCCTCGTGAACCAGGGCAGTTGAGGATCTGATACGGACTGTAAAATGTAGCGTCCTCCGGCCCGCCAACAAGGCACTCCACGCTCTCAAAACACACTGTCAGACACAGAGCCGCGCCAATAATCCCCCGACAAGTGACACATGTCGCCTCTTTTAAGCCAATTTTGAAGGCCGCACCGCGCAGTCAAGCTGTGAGAGATGGTCGTGACAGAGCCACTCTGTCACGCAAAGCTAAGAACACATGCTCACGTTTGGCTATTTTGTTTTTTTCGCCATTTGATTCGTCCTCTCAAGCTGAGTTCGATTATCTAAATCATTAGTTGGAACTGTCACATACTTCTAGCCCTTTTTTAGCCCTGTTTGTAAAAATTCCAACTAATGGTTTAAAAACCAAATTCAGCTTGAAACGATGAATCAAATGACATAAACAACGCGAAATGGCAAAAACTGAGTATATGGGGCTTTTTCTTTGGACGGCAACACACCTGAGTGCAATGCAACGGCCCCGACGGGCGGCACAGAGCGGTTCACGCGTGCCACGGTGTCATCACACCTGGGCGGTATGGAGCGGTCCCGCCGGGCAGCGCAGGGCGGCTTACGCGTGCCACGGGGTCATCACACCTGGGTGGCATGGAGCGGCCCCGCCGGGCAGCGCAGGGAAGCTTACGCGTGCCACGGGGTCATCACACCTGGGCGGCATGGAGCGGCCCCGCCGGGCAGCGCAGGGCGGCTTACGCGTGCCACGGGGTCATCACACCTGGGCGGCATGGAGCGGTCCCGCCGGGCAGCGCAGGGCGGCTTACGCGTGCCACGGGGTCATCACACCTGGGCGCCATGGAGCGATCCCGCCGGGCAGCGCAGGGCGGCTTACGCGTGCCACGGGGTCATCACACCTGGGCGGCATGGAGCGGCCCCGCCGGGCAGCGCAGGGCGGCTTACGCGTGCCACGGGGTCATCACACCCGGGCAGCTAGGAGCCAGTCACATGCGCCCTGGAGAAACTTCACCAGAAGAGCTCACGGCGTCTCGAGCATGGCCCAGCCTGAGCCGAGCCCGAGGCGCGGCGTCGGCGTGCGTCTGACCTGAACTCGGTGGGGCCGGGCCGCAGCAGGTCGCACGTGCCCGTGTACAGGAACAGCAGCAGCTGGCGGAGCGCGGCCGGCGGCGCGGCCTCCAAGCGCAGCGTTCCGTCCACCACGCCGTCGCCGTCGCTGCCGCCGGCCAGCCGCTGCCGCAGGTAGCTCGAGCCGGTGGCCAAGATGTAGCGGTGGCAGGCGAACCGGGTCTGGCCGGCCTGGCGACACCGGCAGGCGGGTATCAGCGGTCGGCTCACCGCGCCAGCCAGGCGAGCGTCAGCTGGCGCCAGACGGCCAACTGGCGCCGGAGGACTCCCGACAAGCATGCGGGGCGACAACCGCAGCCCTGCTGCAGACAGCTGGCGGCTGAGCGACGGACCCGCGCAGACTGCGGGCTACCCGAGACGTGGCGTCACGCATGACGGCTCACCTGCAGCACGATGTCGTGTACGGAGTCGTGCTCGTCGGCGTTCTCCAGCAGGCGACCCAGGTCGTGGCGCAGCTGGGGCGGCGAGACCTGTGGCACCTGTAATCGCAAGCAGCGCCTCTGTCGGCGTGACGCCCCAAGGGCCGCGAGGCGCCGCTGGCCGACTTCGCGGTGCCCATCGCACGGCCTCTTCCCGACGCCAACAACGCGAGGCCGACCGCGGCTCGTGTCACTCGGTGCTCACGCCGAGCCCACACACCGGCGTCAGGTGTCCACCATCAACCACCTCGACCGGGAGCCTGAAGTCAACAACGTGCCAGAGCAGCCTAACACGGCCCTGGGTCCAGTCTGCCGCGGGCGCCCCTGGAAGCCGGCGCGCGCACCTCGAGCAGGAAGGCGCGCGGGTCACACTGGACGGCGGCCGCGTTGCCGCCGCTGCCGTCGCACGTGATGCTGACGGCGCGATGGATGTGCGCCACGCGAGTCACGCGCACCTGGGCGCACTGCTGCCGGTCGGGTGGCGGCCGGTGCGCCGGCGGCCGCCGCACGCCTGCCATCTGCCAGACAACGCACGAGTCAGCAGCGAAGCGGACGGTCGGTTGGCAGATTATCACCTGAAGAGATCATCTCACTCCCATTCAGCAGCGCATCTTCGTGGATGACACCCAGCAACATCTGGTGTGTCGCATGGACCTCCTCTCTCCCTGTACTCCATATATATATATATATATATATATATATATATATATATATATATATATATATATATAAAGATATACCCGTGACTTACACATTACCTTCAGGCGAGCCGCACCCCTCCCCCACCCACTAACATGGCCCGGTCGCCACCACCCACCCTTGGCCTGTTTGTCGGGCGCGTGCCGCCCGGCGGGCAGCACGATGGCGCCGGTGAAGGCCTGGCCCGTCTCGGAGATGAGAATCAGGCCGTGCTTGTCCAGCTCGGCGTCCGCCACGGCCAGTTCGCGCCGCAGACCGAACACGCACCTGCGTGCGGACGCCGCCGTCACCGCCGAGGGAGGGGCACCGAGGGGCTGAGCACCTCCTCGCCCACGGCCGAGACGGCACAGCGCGGCGCGTAGGGCTACAGTCGTGGCCGTGGGTGTGAACTGAGCCGCAGGTGGGCTAGACGGTGGTGCGAGTGGGCATGGATCGCGGCGCAGAAGGGAACAACGTCAGTCGAGTCTGGTCAGCGGCGCCTAATCGCCTTCGAACCGCGGCTCCAGCGTATTGGAGGAGGATGCTTCAGGGACTATCAGAGGTATTCAGGCTACATGGCGCACGCACGGACACGTGTCCAGACGACGTGAATGATGCAAACAGCAAACAACTTCTGAACAGTCACCAATGCCGCGGAAGTAAAGGATGCCTGCAGGCATGCAAAGATGAACGGTGGGAACAATTCCGCAGGGGCTAACAGCCGTAGCTAGGACACATAAACCACTGGCAGCCGAACTCAACGCAGACCAAGCAGAACACACGACTCACAGCACCATCTGCCGGCCGCCGCCTGTGAGTGGGACGCCTGACGCGGCGGCGGCGGCAACGGCGGCGCCTCACCTGGCGACGAGCGGCCAGCTCTCGTGCCAAACGAGCAGGCGGCCGGCGGCCGACAGCAGCAGCAGCCGGAGCGGCGCAGCCCGCTCGGCGCGCCGGCCCTCCAGCTCGGCGTCCGGCGCGCCGCCGTCCACCCGCAGCTGGCGCAGGTTCAGCAGCCTGCTCCGCCGGCAGGGGGGGAGGGGGGGGGGGGTCAGTTGACTGAGGGCGCGGGCACTCGCACGCGGCAGCGACACAGATACAGGTCGGCCACAATAATGCGAACTGATCCACCGAGTAAACTTAAAAAGCAAAAGCTAACACAAACACATCGGTTTGTCCCGAGATCGAAGAACAAGCACCCAAGTATCCTGGCTACATCACCCCCCCCCCCCCCCCCACGCCGTGGTCATGGCGCCCAGTCCGCGGGCACCATGAGAGTCCGCGCCGGAACGCACTTGGAGGCGATGCGGCGGCAGCGGTATTGGCTGAGCAGGTAGACGTCGCCGGCAGCCGTGGCCACGGCGGTGGCGCCGTCGCAGCACGCCACGTGCGTCAGCCGGGCGTCACCAGGCCGGTCCCGGTCCAGCATGGTCACCTGCGGCGCCGGCAGCAGCGTCAGTTCGCGGCTCCGACGGCGCGCCGGCGGCTCGGTCGCCATCTCGGGGGCCGACGCGGCCGACCGAGGGTCCGCGCGCACTCGGCGTATCGTGAGCTCTTCGACTGAGGTGCCACGTGGCTGCATGCACGAATGTATCCGGCGCGGCGCGGGCGGGCCCACGTGATGTGACCCGGGAAAAGAACTTGGGCTGGTGTAACCCAACGCCAGTCGGAGTGGTGACGCCTGGAACGAACACTGCAGAGCTAACACATAGAAACAATGCACGTTCGATCGAATCACGACAGCGGTTTTTGATTGCGAGTGATAGCGGAGCAACTGCACGCGTTTAACGAGGACGGCTCAGGGCCAGGCACAGCGCTTTGCGCACCTTTCTGGGCAGGATGAACCGCTTGTCCTTGTTTTCATCTTTGTGCTGTCCCAGCTGACCACCGTTCAGCCCCACACAGTATAGCGCCTCCGAGTTCCAGAACACCGTGTGGTACCTGTTAATGGTCGAGACGTTTCAACACAGGCGCGATCTCAAGTCGTAACCAACCTCCTTAAATCTGTCTAATCTATATCAACAGTCGTGCAGGCGGCTCGATATTATAACACGCAGGTAAATCATCTTACATACCAGTGTGGCACTTCAGTGTAGGCAAAATGATTTCTACAAACCACACGACATGCGGCACTTGAACAATGAGTTTTCAATCATGTATGACGGCAGATTAATACAATGATCATCCAGCATCCTGACCACACACCCGTGACAGGGATTATCACTACGGAGCCAGTGAAATATTTGTCATGTGCGGAAAAGGAATTTGGATGGCATGGCTTAAAGACAAGCACACCACTGCTTAAGACGATCACCATCTGGCGCAGACGCCTTTTGTGCGGTCCTCGACCCGTTACCTTTCGGCGCAGACGCCTTTTGTGCGGTCCTCGACCCGTTACCTTTCGGCGCAGACGCCTTTTGTGCGGTCCTCGACCCGTTACCTGGCGGCGCAGACGCCCGTGATGCGGTCCGCTCTGCCGCGGCTCCACTCCAGGAGACGGGGCGTGGTCAGCTGCGCGGGAGGCGGCGAGTGTCCCAGCTGGCACGCCTGGTTCAGACCGAACGTCCACACCTGGAGGGGACGGACACGGCAAGCTGCGGACGGCGCGGCGTGGCTGGCTGTGGTGTTGTGCCACAGCCGTGTGCAGCTCTCAAAAATGGGCGCACAGATGGGTGTGAGTGGCACAATGAAAAGTGCAGACGTGAACGGCGCTCAAACACGACGGAAGGACGTTCGATCACTGTGAAATCAAGCTATGTCGCCCGTCCCGGCAAACAAGCTTACTAGCACATTTATGAGCTAATTACGCAGAAGCATGTGCTCGCTGTACACATGACAAACAATGTCACATTGATGACAGAATAGGAAAATGCATGCTTTTAGAAATGTTAGACGGCTCATTGCGGAGACAGCTAATGTATCCCACATAATATTAGCACAGCTCTACTCATCATTTGTATCCCCTGGTGCCATTCGATTGGCATAAAGTAAACCCATGCACAAGGTTATTTGCTAAACGTGTACGTGAATATGACATTCACTTTTTTGCGCTTCATCGCGTCACCCTACATAGCTCTGAAATGGCTAGGTGGGAAACAGTCAGAGTAGAGCCTCCTTTCTGGTCACGCCTGTGCAAAACATGTGGACAACATTTAGGCTAGCGTCCTGCACCGCACCCATTCGTCTAAGAATATGTTCTTCGAAACTACGGTCACAACATAAGGCTGTTTGAACTTATTACTCCGTAATATTCTCAGCTGTCAACTCCGCGCCACCCGTATCGAAAATTTATGAGTCTATGAAAATGTGGAATGGTTGAGTAGGTGGAAGCACGAAAGCTTTCTGTTACGTACTATTTGCATCGTTTCCGTGAACTATTGCAATGGTCATCATTTACGGCAGTCACTGCATGCTAAGAAGTCCATGCTTTGTGCTGTGCCTGTTCTTCAACTCATGTACGTCCACGCCTTGAGGCCAGTCCACTTTGTAAAGCAATTTCATGTGATGATAACGTCCCTCCGACGCGAGAGCACTGCCATAACATCAGTCTAGACCATCTTGCAACATTTTTGTTGATAATGGGTCTTGTTCCTCGATTCGAGCGCCTTTCCATCCGCTTGTGTTCTCAGTCAAGCCAAGCAGGCACATATGAGACCTACACTGCTGCAAACCCAAACTGCGTGACAAGCAGCACCGCAAGGAGGGCGTCGGAGGCTGTGACGTGGCAGGAGGGCGGGAGGGGGCCGATCAGCGGGCCCATCAGCAATTAGCAACTCAGTGGTCGACCTTTCCGCCTCCGCTCCGCGCCGGCGTCCGCCCGCCACGCCGTTCAGCGCGAGCACCGCCGCACCGCTGACAGTAATACACGCAACGCGCTGCTGCCAGCCGTCGGCCGTCCATCGTCGTATCATGACGAGCCCAAGGCAGCGCCGGCCACCGGCTCTCCACCGCTTAGTGAGCGCAACGTCACGTGGCGCTGCGAGCGCCAGCGCAGTTGGGCCTCGGGTCGACCGCGGACCGTCCGGCGACGTCCCTTCGTCGCTGACGTGTCGCTCCATCACCAGCTGCGCCGCTCGCGCCCGGCGGCCGACCGGGCACACAATGCCACGCGTCACAGCCGGCCGCCGCCGCCGCCGCCGCTGGTCACCCGTCACCCGTCACTCGTGACCCGTGACTTGTCAGCTGCCGCCCGTCCCCCTGTCCGGCCCGGCGCCACGTCAGAGTCAGTGAGACCCTCCGTGCGAGGCCGGCAGTGGCAGTCGTCCATCGAGCGTCGTGTTGCCGTCATGTGGTTGAACATTCCGCTGGCGCCGCTGGTGGCGCTGCTGCTGCTGCTGACGCCGGGCCTGGCGTGGCGCCGCTGTCCCATCACCTCGCTCCGACCCTGCATCAAGGGCCAGGAGCCGCCCAGCCTGTGCCGGCGGGACAGAGACTGCGGCGCCGGCCAGCGCTGCTGCCCGGCCGTGCTCTACCCCTGCACGCTGCGCTGCACCGACGTCGGCGACGGCCGGCGGTAGTCGAAACACGGAGCCAGCTAGTGACTGCACCGAACGGAAGGCGGGAGCACGAGAGGTGGTGGTAGTGATGTCAGCAATGCTGCCGCCGAAAACCACTTCGCTTTGAATGCGCAGGGACAAGATGAGAAGGGGAGCTATACATGAAAAACGTACGATAAAAAAGATAAAAAAAAATGTTTGATAGCACTGGGATCAAAACCGGCAACAGGCGTGGCGCCACACTTGACATCAGCGGAGGTGTGTCTTCCAGTGTCAGTATTCGAGCGATCCCGTGCCACAGCGGGGATTCCGCCGGTGCCACACTTAGAGCGGCTGCATCACCAGCAGTCCACAGGCAACTGGGCACAGTTTCAGAACCATCCCCAATGTTCCGCCACCCAGTGCGTTCTGTTGCCCTCTATACCACCTATCCGTAATGTCAGCGGGACTCAAGCTCAGCCATGGAGGCTCTGCGAAGCGCAGCTGGTGGTAGCGCGTGTGCCGCGCGGACGTGCTAAGTTCGGTTATGATCTGCGTGAGCGGTTCCCACGGCTGTCAGGGAGCATCATGCGAGCTGAATAAGTAACAAATACATGAGCATCGCAGCAATAACATGTTCTGCAATAAAATGTAAAATGCAATAAAATGTTGAAAAAACACAAGGCATGTCTACGGATATATGTCCATGTAGGCGGCAGGCTAAGTAAGTTCAAATAGCAAAAGAAGACTGGTTACAAGAAAGTTCGTTTGTTTCAATAAAGCGAAAAGTATGGGAGAACACGCATCAGGATAGTCAGTGACTACCCTGATGCATGTTCTCTTTATACTCCGGCAGGTACTGATGCAAGTCCTCTCCAGGACCGGTAGTCACCATCGCATCGCACACGACAGGCCCAACACCACTCAGCTGGACGGTCTAAAGGGCGTCGTGCCGCTACAGACATGAATCAAGGCGATCCTCGAATACGATGCTAACCCCATCCACAGCGGGTGGAATTCGTCAGCTCTTGCGCGCAATGCCGATCCGGCCAGTTTTTTGGCAATATTCTGTAACATTCCACCTTTGCACGCGATGCTTAGTCCTTCACCTTCGGACATCACATTCCACTTCGCCGCTGTTTTGCTTAGCAGGCCACCCAGCCGTGAAATACGACGCTGCGCCCTTAACCCCTGGATACAGCTACACTTGCAAGCTTTGTTAATAATACCGAACCTCTCAGCATCGATATAACATTTTGACACTTAGGACACTTTGAAAATCCCAGAGAATCACTTACTGTTCCGCTTTCCATCAGCAGCACCGTATGGTCGACCGACGCTGCCACCTGCACACAGCTTTCGCCCTTAACGGCCTTTAGCTTCTTAGGCACCAGCACGGACTCCTCGTCGCCGTGACCTGCCGGAGTGTTTGTCAGCACATGTAGTCACTTACACCGAACACTTCATCACGTCGACCATTAGGGGAAATCCCATTCCAAAACAGTTGGGGGACATGCCGCCGCCCCCCCCCTTTCCCAACCACAATGGCGTCATCCATCCTTCTTGGCACCACATACGCTGGAGCATGGATGCTGTGAAACGCATCACATAGTGCCGCAGCGGACAGGCAGGCCAGACTTCGCCACGTGGCCGGCAGGTGGCAGAATGACAGTCCGAAGTAGCCACCATACCGGCTCTGCATACTGGCCCTCTCGGCTTGGCAGACGGGGTCAGGGGGTACCGACAGAGGGGTGTGGTGGACGGCAGAGGGGCGTGATGGACGCACCAAGCCGGCCGCCGATGCCGTGACCGCATGTGTACACCTCGCCGCCTTGGGTCAGGAACACCGTGTGGAACTTGGTCATCTTTATCTGAAAAGGAGGAGCGACCGGCATACGGCGGGTGCCCAGGGCAGCCAACGGCACGTTCGACCTTCAGTTAGTGACCATCAGCTAATTTGATACACGAACCCGACAAACTGGGCTGATCCATACGCAAGTGCTCAAAATCTGAAGCGACGATTTCGTGGAGTCGCAAAATAAAGACCGCACATGCCACCCAACATAGGTACTTTTGATATCTCTACACAAAGTATCAAACACACGTTGCACACTAAACAACATGTGGTTACTCCAGGGACTAAGCTTTGTCCAGCTGTACCCCACCGTACAAGATACCGCGAACCACCCCAGTCCCTCCCGGCTTTGTTGCACAGGTACAGCCGGGTACGCAGGCCATTCAGCCCTTGACCAGTGCCCCGTCCAAACCCGAGAAGAGCCACCGACCTGCTTGATCCAGACACCCGCCCGCCGAAACAGGTCCAGCGGCTCCGGCACCTGACGCGCCTTGATGCGGTCGACGCCGATGCTGAACCAGGGGTTGCTGCCCCAGACGTAGGCCTCGCAAGGCGCCGCTGGCGTCAGCTCCACCAGCGGCAGCCGGTCGGCGTGCGCCCCGTCGTAGGTGGTCATGTCAGCGTGGTCCTGCGTCAGCGGGCTGGCCCCCAGCTGCGGCCAGGCCACCGCCGGTCACCACGCCGGCCGACGCTGTCGATTCAGGGGCACGGGGCGAAGCGACGGCAGGGACACAACATCGGCAAGTCGTGACACCAGGGACACAGCGTCGGCGCGTCGCGACACCAGGAACACAACATCAGAGCGTCGTGACACCAGGGACATAACACTGGTGCGTCGTAACACCAGGGACACAGCGTCGACGTGCCGTGACACCAGGGACACAGCAACGGCGCGTCGTGACACCAGGAACACTGCATCGGGGCGTCGTGACACCAGGGACACTGCATCGGGGCGTCGTGACATCAGAGAGACAGCATCGGCGTGCCGTGATGCCAGGGACGAGGTTTCAGAGAGCGCAGCATGCCAGCGAGGGTGCGCGGTTGGTGTGGAACGTGACAACGGGAATACATCATCCGAGTGTGACGTTATCGTGAGCACGTCAGCGTTACGTGACACAAGTACACCGGGTCAGTCACTTTTGAGCTGAATGACGCATCGCCCCAATACAAAGAGCACGGTCCTACTCCAGACGCGAGCAGCGAGCGGCACGCTGAAGCCTACCATTAGCAGTGAGCGAGCGACGCTCAGTTGGCCGTAGAAGACGGCCCGCTGCAGGGCCGTCATGCCCGACTCCTTGTCCTCCGTGTTCAGGGGAACGCTGTGGACCTGCACCAGCCATTCAGCCAGCTGGAGACGGAGATGAGCGTCACGGCTCGGTGGTGCGGCGCAGAGCACCTGAGGTGGCGTGCTCACGGGCCCGGCTGATGGTGATCAGCGGCCCAGGGAACCGCCAAAACTGCAGCGTCTACGTCAAAGCTGACGGAGCTGTACGTCGGGCACGGCACCATTGTCGCCCCATCTCCGAGATGGGGCGCTAAGCAAATAATGTGCGACAGTGGGCGTACGTTAAACGAACGATCACAGGGACACGTGTCCTGCCTCGCGTCGGCCACATGGGGAAATGGGACCGCTCGCCAGTCACACACACACGAGGACGTGTTGGAACTCATGCCCGTCACATGGTGGGAGTGGGTATGACCTCTCACTAGTCATAGGGACACAGCACTGACCTCTCGGCGCCCGCAGGAGGCAGCTACGTGCAGCGGCGTGCGGCCGGCCGAGTCGGTGCCGGTGGCGGCATTGTGACAGAGCCAGGACATGTAGGAGATGAGCTCGGCATCCGACGCCTTGGTGATAGCCGAGCTTATCATGTCGGCGTGCTGGCGCGATCGGCAGCGACGCGTGCACTCGGAGCAGCGCACTGGCACGCCCAGCCGCTCCCTCTCAGGCATACTGTGGCGCCTGCGGGGTGGGAGGGATGGGCTTACTAGCCAATTATGTCAGATTGGCTGGCATGGGGCAGAAAATGCTGAGAAGCCACTGTCAGACAGGTGTCACTTTGCATTGACCATGCACAGATGCATAATAAATAACTGGGAGTGGCCATAATTGCTTAATGTGAGACATTTACCTCAAGCCTTATGCTCCCAATTAATCACAACACTGCTATGTTCTTGGTTTGTTCATGACACCACTGTATCACACACTCGGTTCCCCCTGATCACTTTCTATCACACAATTAGTGATTCCTGAAGCCAGCATAGGTCACTAATGCAATTATACACTGGCAACTTGAAGAACTTTGAAAAAACATGTGGGCACTACATTCAGCAAAAATTATGCATAACCTTGCTGATAAGTTATTGATACTAGCTGTGTTATTACAATGAAGTAAGCTGAACATTTCAATTCAAGCATGGCTTTCCCACCTAATGAAGCAAAATTATCTTTAAGATTCATAATTTTGCTTAATTTCATAACCAACACAAATTTTGAAAATAATCTTACTAGGTATGATCTCCCCATGCATGCTATACAACACATCACCTTTTAATTTAACCACATGGTAATACATGTTTGCAACAACCTTCCAAATGACTTGTCTGAGGACCAATGACGGGATACATTTGAGCATATTTTTCCCACTTCTAATTGTTTTCAGGGATCTAAGGCTCTCACCCCTTATGCACAGTCAAGTCAATAATGACACAGAGCTCTCAAAACACAAGATGTGTTTCACCAGTGACAATGTGGCACTCCTACAAAAATACCAATTTTCAACAATACAGGACGATGATGACTAGGGCTCTAGGGGGGGGGGAACGTAGATATACACCGCATTATTCTGTTCTGGACAAAAGCCTTAACCACAGAAAACGTAGCATAAAATTCTGATGAGTACAAATAATTCCCAAATCACGTAACTCAAACATTTGCCTCATTTGGTTGGTACATAAGCATCTTGTACCTTTTAAATCACTTTCAGCAGGTAACGGTGGTGGCTTCCGTTCAAAACACGTGAACATAAACGCACAAGCGTCACCACATTTGCACAACCCTAATCATTGCATGCATGCAGCAGAGCATGCGCTCGGATGCTTTAGTATTCATGGACGCCGTAACTGTATTTAATGCGCGAAATATGAAACGAAGACCACAAATGAAAGGCTGCCTCTTACAGACGCAACTAACCAATCACATGATTTCACTGATGGTGGCTTTTGGTTTCTCCAGCAATAGCTACACAGCTAAAGCGATTCAAAAGCACTGCAGCTTTGTTGTTGAACAGTATTTTGGAAGACATTCATATCAATTCCTTGCAAATTGCTCAGGAATTCGGACATAGAGTGCGTGCGACAGGCGGTGTGGTGGCCGTGCGTCGGAGTCGTCTGAGATAAGCAAGGACGTGCATATTGTGAGAGTAAACGAAGTCAATTACGGGTTCGCGCCAAACCCTCAAGGCTTGCCACCAGAAGCTGATAGGCGGGTTCTGTCCAATTTTGTGGTGGATTTGACCTCTATACGAGTCCGCTGTGTTTGGGAACATTGATTTAGGCACTGGGCAGTAGCATTCGCGGCAACATCAAAAGGATTCACAGCAGAACTTCCCCAATGTAAGTTGGCATTATTGATGCATTCCCTGCCTTTGCCTCCCTTAGGTGGTTGGGCGGGATGTCGGCCATAGAAGGATTTGTCAGCTGATAAGTTAAGAGAACCCCAAATACCGGAAATGTTTGTATAGCACACTGCAAGCCAGGATGCAATTTATGTAATCAAACATGACAAACATAAGATAGCAACAAGTTTGGGGCAGGCAGAACTCTGCCCTAAATAGAGTAGATGGGTGGCTGGCTGTGGGCAGATTTTGCTATCCTTACTAGCTGCTTATCCCCAAAACATGTCTTTGATCAGGTTTGGTCATTTTGTGTGATCTGACCAGACCTGTACTATTTGGGGGGGTGGGGGGGGGTGGGGGTGGGTAGGGCATCAACCGCTGTAGGGCATGCAGCAGGCCTGTACTAAAGAAGGCATTATATTACCATTAATGCTTAAATTCAAATTTTTCCTGTCCAAATTATGATAAGCAGCCCTGAGGTGGAAGCCGCACTCCATCTCAGCCCCAATAACCTATCATCAAAATCTATCACATTCTGCAGGTTGGCACCTCAGTAGCACTTATAAGCATAAATTGAGACCATTAATCACATTAGATTTTGTGATTATGTGCTCCACTTGTGTGGGGTATAATCCTGCATAACTGTGATTAGTAAAACAAACATGTAAGCCACATGGGTATCAGCTTCCTTGGGAGACCTAATAAAGCTAAATAGGCTGGCATATATATATATATATATATATATATATATATTATATATATATATATATGTACTGGACATAACTGCTTAGATATGTATGCTGTGCTTTATATTTTAGCATCACACAACACTTGTCTTGCATGCTCACTCTCCAGAACCTACTGCCAGCCCCAGCCCCTCCTGTAACCCAAGCCACAAAACATGCATGTTATACCTATTATGCCTGTCTGCGGAGTTATACAACTTATGACAACTTGCATGTCACAAGTTACTACTGGAATGCAAACAGCCGAAGTTCAAAAATGTAGCTTCAGCAGATGGATGCATGCAACTTTAAGTTATTGCAGCCCTGTGAATTTGGCACACTGTCTTTCTAGGTATAGAGAGCAAATGTGTCAAGGAATTATGATGCTGGAGAATTTTCACAAGATTACTCTAAAACACTTCTCATGCTCACTGAAAAGTTCAGTTTGATGCTTCTTTGCCTGTGTTTGCTCACATGAGTGTCAGGTTCTACACACTGATGGCACATGTTGGGTACACTGGTGTTGGGCACAGTGGGTATATTTTTGCAGGCTGACTTGTAACCATATCTGTGTAATTCACCCATGCTCGTAAACCTTGCACTTTTGGCTCTCAGGCTATCAAAATAGCTGTGTGTGCTGGCAGAAATGGATAGGGTGTAGAGCAATATATGAAGTTATTGAATTGGCCAATATTGCTTGGCTAAGTTAACATGAGTGCACATAAATTTTAAGCATACCATGCAAATATCAAAGATGGGATGATAATGGATAAGCTGATGGCCCTGAGGTACCAGTGTGGTTCACTTTGCCATAACAGGAGCTGCTCCAGCTATCCTCCAAAGTGGTG